GACTAGCCTCCCTCCAAACTGTTTTGCAAGGACTCCACCGAGATAAGGGTGTGAACTGCAGAGCCAAACATCGGCCGATCTAACTAGAGGCCGTGGCAACCCTCGCAGAAAGAGCCGCTTTTCAGCCCCGGGGGGGGGCGTTGGGCTCCGAGAAGCCGGGCTGCCGCTCACTTTGCTTCAGGGGCTGGCCGGGTCCCGTCACGGAAGAGGCACGCAGACCCTCGCCAAGGGAGGGAGAGAGGGCGGGCGGGATGCGCCCACCGTGATCTCCCGCCCCTCCCAAGCCGTGTCTCTTGGGGCCCCGCTGGTGGAGAGACCCCCCCAAGAGAACAGGCTGTGGAGGAACTGCGCCCGCTGAGTGGAGGGACCCATGCGTGCTCGGGTCGAGGCCCAGGTGCACGCAGATAAGCGGCCGGCAGAGCCCGGGCAGGTGCGCTCGGGAACCTTCTGGCCCCGTCTCGCCGGGCGCTCGGGAGAGGAAAAGGCAAAGTCCGGGAACCCCACAACCGCTCCAGGCCAACCCACAGACGGAAGGCGCAGGACCGAGCGGCGAGCCCCACACGCACACGCACATGCTCACACACGCACAGGCACACACACAGACATGCACATGCAGACACACACGCACACACACACACACACACACACACATGCACACACACGCACAGGCACACACACAGACATGCACATGCAGACATATGCAGACACACACATGCAGACACACACACACACACACATGCACACACGCTTCGCTGTGCTGGGATGCGTGTAGATAGCAGGGACGGAGCAAACGAGACCCGTGCCCTGGAGGAGGGGCTGCAGGGCGCAGGCCAGGGAGGAAAGGCTGCGGGTGAGAGGGGGCACCAGGACAGGAGCCATGAGGCAGTCTGGAGCACTGGGCCAGGAGTCAGCCCTGTGCACTGCTAGGTGTGGCCCCCTGAGGAATGAAAGGCCGGGACAGGCAGGGCCTGTGGGGGGTGGGAGAGACAGACGCACGTTTCTCCGAGGGCCCAGAGTGTTGGTGCCGCAGGTGGAAGACCCAGTTCCCGGTTCCGGCGGTGCGGGCAGGCTCAGGCGTGGCCCAGGCGGGGTGGGCAGCCACTTGCTCTCTCTCTGGCTTTGGGGACACAGCCCTTCCCGAGGGTGCCCCTGGTGCTGCTCGGGGCCCTGTGAGGCGCCAGGGATCAAGCCCCGGTGCAGGACCAACACCTGGACCCTGTCCCCTCTCTCCGGCCCGACAAGCCCCTGGACGTGGCGCCCCCGCCCTGCGCTCCAGCTGCCACTGCCGCCTCCCAGGGCAGCAGAGGGCGGCGATGTCCTCCCTGCTGGCCAAGGAGGTGGCCGCGGCCGTGGCCAGCATGGAGGGGCACTGCCCTCTGGAAAGGGAGACAGCCCCAAATACACCCTCATCGAACCACCATCGCTTCCCTCCCCCGCGGCCCTTCCCGCCCGACCCCCCCCTCGCCATTTTTCTTTCTTTCAGTTCGAGGACCCTGGAGGGCTCGGGGGACCATCTGGGTGCCTGGGATTCAGCCCACACCCTCCCCGCTTTGCTACTCCACCCTTCCAGGGGCTGCTTCTGCCTGTGGTCAGGCTTACACCATGAGCCTCTGCGTTCAGGGCTCCAACCCCGGGTCTCCGGTATGTGGAGCAAATGGACCAACACCTGGGCGGCGCCCCTGGCCCTGCCCTCTGCTGGACAGCAGGTCACGGGGGGGGGGGGTGTCTTCACGGCCCTGGGGACTCTGGATGAAGGAGAGAAAGCCCAGAGCATCCGGGACACAGAGACCAGCTGGGTCGGGACCCACACTGCGCAGGCTGCGTTCTCGGGGTGGGAACGCAGGGGCAGGGGGGCTCCGAAACCCACGGGCACTGGGCCCCTTGGTGAGAGGCCCTGCCCAGGAGGATGGGCACTCAAGACACGCTGGGAAACAAGAGCACAAAGGAGGGCAGCAGGGGGGGCCGGTGGGCACAGCACGGCCGGCAGGCGGGAGAGTGGACAGCGGGCAGGGGTCCGGGGGGCTATTTCCAAGTCCAAACGCGAGATTACGCGAGGCACAGTATGAAAGAAAAAAGACCCGAGTGCACCTCGGTTTCAGACACAGGAGCCCCACGCGCTGGTGGAATTACTGGCGGGCCAGGGGCTGAGGCGGGGCTGTAACGTGAGCGCCCCGTCCTGCTCGGGGTGTCCAGCCCAGCGGAGAAGGGGGGCGGGTTAGGGAGGCGCTGCCCAGGCTCCGGCCCCCCCGCCACAGCCCGCTGGATCTCCGAGCTTCCACCCCGACACCGCGCCTGTCCAACACGGTCAGCGTGGGCATCTTCCGATGAGCTGTGATTGGGGGCGGGGAGACGCAGCGGGGGCAGGGCGCTTGCCTTGCACCCATGGGGTCCCCCCAGCCCAACCAGGAGTCATCGCTGAGCACTGAGCCAGGAGTAAGCCCTGAGCACCGCCGGAGAGCACTCCCCTCTCCCACAGATGAAAGACTGACTGCCTTTTCATTTTGCAGCGTAACTAGAGGGATCGCATACAGGCTAGTCGCCACTGCCGCTGCCCCCAATCACAGCCCATTGGAAGATGTTGGCTCAGGGGCTCAGGCATGGCACACACGGTCCGGGACCCGTCTGCCGTCCACCACGACCAGCCTCCACTTGGACCGTGTGTGCCGTGCCTGAGCCTCTGAGCCAACATCACCTCCTCCTCCCGAGAGAGGACAGCGGCCTGTGGGCCAAGGGCAGGGAGATAAGGGCTGGCGCTGGGCAGAGCCCTCCACACGGAAAGGCTCGGAGAACCTCCGAGTGGCCGAGGTGGCCTTGAGGCCCCGTCCCTCCCCGTCAGACCAGAGCTTCGCGCATGTCAGGTGGGCCGGGCCAGGTGTTCCCGACCACACCTGCCCTTCGCCGCTCATGCCCCACACTTGTTGGGGGAGGGAGGGAGGGAGGGCACGGCTGACCGTCCCACAGACACAAAGGGCCCCCCTGTTTTCTGATCAGACCTGGGGACGTCATGAGGATCCCCTTCCCCTGTGTGGGACACGCCTGGAAGACCCTGTAAAGCACAGGGGCCTCCTGGCCTGGCGTTAAAGTGGCCGTCAGGGATCTGGGTCATTCAACGAAGTGTCCACTCAGCCACGACCCCCGGGCTTAGGGATCTGACAGCTCAGAGCCTGGTGGGCTGTGTCCTGGAGCACATCAAGACCCTGAAGGCTGTTCTCAGACTCAGGACCCCGGGACATTAGGTGGGAGCACCACCACGCGAGGGAGAAGACTGGCAACACCAGAGAAGCCCTGGGCATCGCTGCATGTGGTGTGTCCCACAGTATGCACCACATACGTGCGCACACTTAAAGAAACACAGAACACTAGTAACCTTAAAAAAGGGGGGGGGGAGGCTGGAGCGATAGCACAGAGGGTAGGGCGTTTGCCTTATATACAGCCGACCCGGGTTCGATTCCCATAGGGTCCCCAGAGCACCGCCAGGAGTAATTCCTGATTGCAAAGCCAGGAGTAGCCCCTGTGCATCGCCGGGTGTGACCCAAAAAGCAAAAAGGAAAAAAAAAGAAAAGAAAAGAAAAGAAAAGAAAAGAAAAATGTCTCCGAGGGCTGGAGATGGTGGGCAGTACAGCAGATGGGCACAGGCTCCATCCCTGCACCCCGAGTGGTTCCCAAACCCCGCCGGAGTGACCCCTGAACACAGAGCCAGGAGTAAGCCCTGAGCACTGCCAGGTGTGGCCCCCCAAACTAAAATTAACGTGGGTACAACTTTTTAAAAATCCACTCGTCCAAATCAAGGGGTCTTTCTTGTGCTCTGGTTATGATTCTGAAAATAAATCGACCATTTAACCCACTCTAGGACCCATCTGAGGAGACCCCAGGCAGGAGACCCCTTAGCCGGCCTCCCCACACGATGTCCAGACACAATTCTGGTTAAGTTGCTGGTGCATTTTGTTCCCAGTGACAAACACCCACTCCCCCGGGCCGCACGGTACAAATCCGAAATTTGTGCCACAAAGTGGACATGTCGTTGGCTGTCTGAGCAGCCGAGTCACAGGGGCTGAGCTGGCCGCAGACCCGGGAGGCAGCTCTGGGGGTCAGCCCCTTCCCATGGCCAGCCGTGGCTCCTGCCTGGGGCGGACACAGACTGACTCTAGGGCATCTGCAGAAATGCCTCTTTGGTTTGGGGGCTACACCCGGCTGTGCTCAGGGAGCACTCCAGCTGAGGCTTAGGGGACCACTCGGGTGTCGGGACTGAACCCAGGTCAGCCGTGTGCCGGGGAGTGCCTTCGCCCCTGTGAGCTGACCAGCGCTGGGCTCCGGGCTGGACATGGCGTCTCAGCCCCTGGGGCTCATCCTCTCCGCCCGAGTCCGCTCTCCAGCACCCAGGCGCCCGCCTGAGTTTGTTCTCCTACTCATCACAACTCACAATCATTTGGGACAAAGGTCAGCCCGAGGAAGCGGTCCGGCCTAACGGATGCTCCGGGCACCCGGGCCCAGGGTGGACCGGCACAGATGGCGCCCGGGGCCCGGGTGCAGGGTCCTCCCGCTGCCCCGCAGACTCCCGGGCTGGGGGCGGTGCGGGTCCCGCCCGCGCCTCGCAGCGCCCCCCGGGCGGAGTCTGCAGCCCGACCGCGCTCGCCGTGCCGGCTCCTTAATTATTGAGCGCCGAGTCCTGCCAGCAGAGTGGCGGCCCCTCCGGACAGCGCAGAGGGACAGCGCTGCGTCCGCGGAAACTCGCCGGCGGGACGGGCGCGCGGGGCGCGGGCAGGTGCGGGCCGGGCGGCCCGAGGCCACGTGCGGCCGCATTGTCCTGCGCCGCTTTGTCCCGCCGCGGCCGGGCCCCGACGCGGGCACCTGCGCCCCGCGCGCCGCGGACCGGGGCAGCGCCCTGGGCATCGCCGCGGCGCGGGCTGGACCCCGGGGCCCGCCCTTCCCGGGAGCCCCCTCCCCGCCGCCCCCTGCAGCCGCGGCCAGCGCGGAGCCCGCGCGGCGGCCGGTTCACGCACCATGTCCGCGGGCGATGCTGTCCGGCCGGCCGGCGCCTCCGTCCCTCCGGGGCAGCTCTGGTCCGCGCGCTGCTGTCCGGCCGGGGCCGCCGGGCCCCGCCCCCCTCAAGCCCCGCCCCTGCAGGCCCCGCCCACGGAAGACCACGCCCCCGGCAGGCCGCGGTCCCGGCAGGCCCCGCCCCAGCAGGCTGCCGTGGTCCCGGCAGGCCCCGCCTCCAGATGCCCCGCCCCTTGCTGGCCACGCCCATGGCAGACCACGCCCCCGGTAGACCGCGGTCCCAGCAGGCCCCGCCTCCAGATGCCCCGCCCCTTGCTGGCCACGCCCATGGCAGACCACGCCCCCGGCAGGCCGCGGTCCCGGCAGGCCCCGCCTCCAGATGCCCCGCCCCTTGCTGGCCACGCCCACGGCAGACCACGCCCCCGGCAGACCGCGGTCCCGGCAGACCCCGCCCCCAGCAGGCCGCGGCCACGGCCCCCAGAGACCACGCCCTGTCAATGCCCCGCCCCGCGCGTGACCACGCCCCGTCCGTGCCCCGGCCCGTATTGCCACGCCCCCTCCTAGCCCACCTCCGGGCGGCCCGGCCAGCCCCGTCGCGCCCCCTGCCGGCCAGGGCCGCGATTTGCAGGCACAGGCCAAGTTGGCAGGTTCGCAGCGGAGCCTCTGCCCCACCTCCAGCCCCCAGTACCCCCATCCCGCATCCCAGGACCCTGACCCGACACAGCCAAGGCATCACCGCCCTGCAGCCACGAAGCATCTCAAGCCCCTGCAGGGGGTGGGCTGGACTCTGGGCGTTCGCTCGCTTACCAGGGTGGGGCCCCTTAGGGCACGTGATCGATGGGGTTTGCTCCCCAGGTTGGGGGAAAGGGACGTCTCCCCCAGCAGCCTCGCAGTCTCACACTCTCAAAGCCTCACAGTCTCACAGCCTCACACAGGCGCTCAGAAGCCCAACCTGCAGCTCGCCCGCTGCTGTGCGCTTTGGGAAAGCCCCACGCCCTCTCTGCGCTTGCTTTCGGACCTGTGAACTGGGGGCTGAAAGGCACGTACGCAATTTGTTGAGATTGGATGAATGTGAATAAGACACTAGGGGGGCGTGGGGCGAAAATCAGGGGTGCCTGGGGTCACTGATCTTATTGATGGCCGGGAAGCCAGAAAGCAGTATTCTACTTAATGGTGGCGTGATTTTATAAATCCAGAATCACATTTGCGGTCAACACTAGTGCCATTAGTCCCATTTTTCTGTCCACTTAAGTGTTGGGAGACAAAACAAAATAAAAGAATGATAAATACACATGCAAAGCCAGGCTCTGCCGTGGGAAGCGGAAATTCGCTCTGACCAGCCCAGCCCCACCACCAGGAGCCCTTGGCGTCCTTGATGGCCATCTGGCAGTCCGTGTAAACACACGAAAAAGGACGGGCAAGGGGGCGGCAGCGGCCTATCTCTCCCGCCGCCTGCGTTCAGTGGTCTCAGGCCGTTCCCCCACTCCAGGGAGGTCGATGGCAATGGTCAGGCGAAGGAAGGGAACGGGGGCCAGGCTGGTTGGTCTTAGCAGCAGTTTGTTACATGGAAGAGATGTACGTCATGGAGGCCCCAGGATCTCTCAAGCACGTGCGCCTTTGTCCTCTCAGCTTCTGTCCTCAGCCCCATCTTCCCTGGTTCTCTGACGCACGTGTGCCCCCGAGAGCCCTGGAATCACCCTTATGTAGATCATGGTACCTCTAAAGGGCGCAATATAGTGATGTCATCAAAAGGAGTTACAGAAAGAACACTGAGGCAGCAAACCATACATTGTTTCTTTACATCCGCAGGCCAGGAATCCTGGCCTCACCTTTTACAAGCTACGAGCACTTGGATTAGCGGTCCCAGTGGGAGGAAACCCAGCCAAGTGGCAGGTGCTCTTTCCTGCACGGCAGTACGATAGAATGAGGCTTCCTTTTCATGTTTTTAGATTTTTTTTTCTTTTTGGGTCACACCTGGCGATGCTCAGGGGTTACTCCTGGCTCGTGCACTCAGGGATCACTCCTGGCAGTGCTCGGGGGACCCTATGGGATGCTGGGAATTGAACCCGGGTTGGCCGCATGCAAGGCAAACGCACTGTGCTATCACTCCAGCCCCTTCGATTTCTCAACATATGCTCCTTTTTACTTTCAAAGCCATGAAAATACTTCCCGTCATTTTTGAATCATGGACGAACCCTAAGAAGCCTGGGACCGAGTTTCCCTCTCTGGTCAACGCACCCCACATCTAATGCAGTGAACTGTGAGCTGGGGGCTGGGGGCTCACTCCTGGCTCTGACCTCAGGGTCACTCCGCACAGGGTGCTGGGGACCCGACCAAGGTCAGCACAGCTCAGCCCTTACGCCCTCCACTAACTCTCCAGCCCCTCGAATGAATGTGAATCCTTAATCTAGATATTCTCAAACAGGATTGTGCGTAAACTGTCCCTGAGGCTTGAACTAAACACCTGGGGCCATTCTGGAGGCCCCGGGTGCAAGGGAGAAATCGGGGTTTGTAAAAGAAGGCCGCAGAGGCTGTGGAGGCAGGGAGGGAGGGCGCAGGCACATCGGAACCCTGAATTCTGTCCCCATCCAGGAAATCACTGTCCCTCCCTCTGCCAGCATTGAGGTTAAGGACGGGGCGGCCCCTGGCCGAGCTCAGCAGAGCCCACGTGGAAGGGACTCTTGAACCGCGGGTCGCCGGACACATCACTCACATTTCTCCTGATAACTGTCGCATTCCGTTTGCTGTCTAAGAACACAGGGTGGGAAGGAGGTCTGTGCTCTTATCTGTCTCTTAAAGCACCGTTCTGGGACGGAAAGGGACGAAGGCAACGATTTGCTTTCCCGGTACTTCATGAAACAGGGAAAAATTCTTCCACTAAAGGGAGCGCCTAAACACTGCAAGCCAGTCATAACATGAACTTACCAGCCAAGAAACATCCTAACATGCATTTTTTTTTCTAACCAGGTAGCGAATGCACATTCTTGCTCTCAAGCAGTTTCTCAGCTGTGAGCCACAGTGACCCCGTGAACAGAGAGCAGCCCCTGGCCGTGGCCCAAAGCCCAGTCAATCAATCGATCAATATTATGTCCCTCTTTTAAAGGCCAAGGAGAGGGTCAGAGAGAGGACAGCGGACAGGGCATCTGCCTGCACAGGGCCGACTCAGCACCACACAGGGGGCCCCGAGCCCACGAGGAGCAAGCCCTGAGCACAGCCGGATGTGGCCTCCCTCAACAATAAACCTCCCCGGGTCAAAAAGTTTTTTAAAAACGTTAAGCCACACATCAAACAACAAAGCCAAAAGTCTTGTCTGGGATCCTAAGTGGGAAGCAAAGAATCGGAACGTTTTAAGGTGAGAGATAAAAACCAAACCGAACCAGCAGCTGGAAGACGCACTTTTATTACCGTGATGTGCCCACGGGTCCTTTAGTGAGGACCAAGCAGGTCCCCAGATGGCACTTCATGCCACCAGGGTGAGGGACCGTGAGCCTCAACACAGGCTCTCGACCTGCCCACCAAGCCTCCCTCCGGCCTTGCCTCCTCCCTGTGGCCCCCATTTACGGCCTGGCGGAGACGCACTGGTCAGGGGCAGCTGGATTCGGACTCTTCACCAGACCAACACTGATTTCAATGCCACACCTGGGACTGGCCCATTTCCTGGGCATCCGGGGAACACTGAAAGGGCCAAGCACTGGCCCGGGGCTGGTACCCTGCCTAAAGGCCTTCGCTGTTTGGTTCGGTTCTGTGGCCACACCTAGCAGTGCTCAGAGCCGACTCCTGGCTCTGCACTGAAGGATCACTCCCGGCGGAGCTCAGGGGACCATGTCAGGTGCCAGGGATCGAACCTGGGTCAGCCACATGCAAGGCAAACGCCCTCCCCCTGTGGTATCACTCCAGCTCCTCACTCTTTATTTTGATTTTTTTACTATATATTTTTAATGAATCACCGTGAGACATTGTTACAGACTTACAAACTTCCGTGATTACATTTCAGTCATACAATGACCGAGCACCCATGCCTCCGCCAGTGCCCGTTCCCCACCCCCAATGTCCCCAGTATCCCTCCCGCCACCCACATCCCTTTCCACCCCTGCCTCTGTGGCAGGGACCTTCCCTCCTTCTCTCCCTCTCCCTTTGGGTGTCGTGCTTTGCAATACAGGCAGCAAGCAGCCATCCTGCGTGGCCCATAGTCTCCTCTCAGTGCACGTCTCCCACCCGAGCCATCCTCTGAGCGTCCTTCCCTTAGTGGTCCCTTCTCCATCCCAGCTGCCTCTCTCCTCACTCCTTTTTTTTTGCTTTTTGGGTCACACCTGGCGATGCACAGGGGTTCCTCCTGGCTTTGCACTCAGGAATTACGCCCGGCAGTGCTCAGGGGACCATATGGGATGCCGGGAATCGAACCCGGGCCGGCCGCATGCAAGGCAAACGCACTACCCGCTGTGCTATGGCTCCAGCCCCTCGCTCCTTTTAAGACCTGTGCTCCAGAAGCCAGGGACCCCAGGATTCTCCGCCAGCCAGGCTGGTATTCAGGTCGAGGACTCGAGGCAGCAGTGCTGAGGGTCCCTGGCTCCCCCGTGGGGCTCATCCCACAGTGCTCAGGGACCAGGTGGTGCAGGGGGGTTCAACCCAGGTCAGTTGTGTGCAAAGAGTCTCCTTCCCCTGTGCTCTCTCGCGCCCAGCCTAGGGCCACACGCAGCCACACAGAAGCCAGCAGACCCTCGGCGGCTCCGAGCTGAGACGTGAGCCCCGTCAGGAGAGCGTTTGGAAACGTCGCTGGCCGCGGCTGCTGGACGGTGCCGCTGTGATCTCTGGTGTTGCCCAACGTGGTGATTGCATTGGTCATGTTCCCGCTGAAATTTCCAAAGGTTATTTTGGGGTATTTTGCTTGTTTGGGGTTTGTTTCAACCTATCCACGTTCTGAAAAGGAGAAAAAAAAAATAAATGTCCTGGGAGGCATTGGACTGACAATGGACAGAACTCAGGAGAGTGACCGGGGCCGTCTGGACTAAGGCCTCATCTGGTCTCCTGTTACTCTGATTGGATAAAAAAAAAAACCAACAATAACACGGATGGCAGGGGCTGGAGCGATAGCACAGCCGGGAGGGCGTTTGCCTTGCAAGCGGCCGACCGGGGTTCGAAACCCCGCATCTCATAGGGTCCCCTGAGCACCGCCAGGAGTGATTCCTGAGTGCAGAGCCCGGAGGAACCCCTGAGCATCGCCGGGTGTGACCCAAAAAGCAAAGCAAAAAAAAAAGAAAAGAAAAGAAAACCACGGATGGCGCCGAACTCGCCTCTCCTAGGCCCGCTCAGCGTCTGCCAGGATCACGCCCGCCTGCTCCTGCCCAGTCCCCGGGTCCGGGCGACAATCACCGCAGACCCCTCTCCTGAAGCCTGTCCTGCCTAAGGTGTCAGCTACAGGCTCCGGGGCTGCACCCAGCAGTGCTCGGGGGACCGTGCAGTGCCAGGGATCGGAGCGGCGTGGGGCGTTGGCGAGATGTGCGCCCTAAGCATTGGCTCTCCCGGGCCCCTGGGTCCCCTCGGTGGGTGCAAAGGTCTTAGAGAACCCGGGAGCAAACAGCCGCGGCCCCTCTCGCTCGCTGGCGCCACCTCGTGGCATGACCAGGCTGCGCAGCCGCCGGGACCTGGGCTCTGCACTTCTCAAGGGAGCCCATCCTGGGGAATCGCCAACTTTGGGGTGGCGAGGGGTCAGCTCACAGGGGTTGGCCGAGTGGCCGCCACCAGGGTCACCGCAGGAGCAGACAGGCAGGCAGGCAGGCAGGCAGGCAGGCAGAGAGACACACAACCCGGAACGGGCACCGAGGACGAGGCCACCCCCGAGGCCCTGGAGCCTGTGCCCCGTCAGCCAGCCTGGCTTCTGGCAAATTCCCGACCTTTGACACCAGAAGAGGTCTAGAGGGGCCCGAGGGTGCCAGCTGGCCGCCTTCACCAGCAACTTTGGACTTCTCACCTCCCCGGCCCCTGGGGCGCATCCTCTGCTCTGAAGCCACCAGCCACATCATCACCTGAGCCACCTGCCCCTTCTTGCTCTGGCCAGGCTCCCTTCACCGGCTCCCGTCACTGGGGACCTACTGACCAAAGGACAATGACCGAGAGAGGCCATGAGGCTGACAGAGCGCCCAGGCACACGCCCCTCCTGACCTCCATCCCCGGGAACGGAGAGCAACCCCACCAGGCCCGCCCCTGTGTGAGACACTGGCCGCCACCTCCCTCCCTCTCTCCCTCACTCCCTCCCTCCCTCCGGCTCCTGGAAGGTGCCCTGGGGCGCCCAGTCTCTCAGGGGCTGCCAGCACCAAGCCGCAAACCCATAGGAGAGAAGCGGCTCGGGTGTCACGGGAAGCCGCCAGTGGGGCTCAGGCAGTGACTGGGCCGACTTTGTCCTGCCCCTGACGATTCCTGTCCATGTGCAGCAAGGGGCCACCGTGACAACAGCCCGGGGCGCAGCGGGAGCGGAGGGTGGTTGAGGTCTCAGCCCTTCCCGCAGGCTCCTGCACTGCCAGGCCACTCCACTCATGGCTCCACAGCACGGTGGAGCCGTCAGTTGTGAAGTCGGGTCGCTGCAGCCTGCTGGCCCCGGGGCATCCTCCTGGTCTGCCCTCTCTGCCGCTGGCAACATGCCCACACCAGAGACTCCTTCCGGGGTCATCTGACTAGGAAACAGCCAGGGAAGAGACAGTGCCGTGGGCAGGGCGTCTGCCCCGCACGTGACTGACCCACGTTCAACATCCCCAAACCCCTCAAGCAGATCTGAGCACCGAGGCAGGAGTGAGCCCTGAGCACCGAGCAGAGAGTGAGTCCTGAGCACAGAGCCAGGAGCGACCCTGAGCACAGAGGTGGGAGCACTGTTTGGTGTGGCCCCAGCCCAAGGGAAAAAAAGAGAAAAGAAAAATAAAAGGAAAGGAAAGGAAAGAAAAAGAAGAAAGGGAAAGACATAACAGAAAGAAGCTGAACCCCCCTGGAGTGATTCCTGAGTGCAGAGCCAGGAGCAACCTCGGAGCATCACAGGGTGTGGCCACCCCCCTCCCCGCCCAAGGAAAAAGAAAAGGAACTGAAGGAAAAGAAAAAAGTAACGGGGGCCAGAGACGTAATACAGGGAGTCATTGCAGGACATCCTAAGTAGGATGCTCAGGTAGGAAGCCCTAATAACGGTCTTGTAACCACAGTGCCTTGAATAAAAGGCCCTCCCGTTGATCGTCGATCTGCTCGAGCGGGCCCAGTACCGTCTCCATTGGAGACTTTGTTGTTACTGTGTCTGGCATATCGAATACGTCACGGGGGGCTTGCCAGGCTCTGCCGTGCAGGCGAGATACTCTCGGTAGTTTGCCGGGCTCTCCGAGAGGGGCGGAGGAATCGAACTCGGGTCGGCCATGTGGGCCGCTTGTAAGGCGAACGCCCTACCGCTGTCTCCAATGGAGACGTTACTGGGCCCGCTCGAGCAAGTGCCTTGAATAAAATAAATTTATTTTATCAAGCAAAAAAAAGAAATGTTTATATTTGATCCAAAAATAATTGATTCTCTCAGCTCCACCGCCAAGGCAGTACTGGGGCGCCCTCTGTGGGACAGACAGGGGCTCGCACGTCTGAGAGCCTGGGTCTGGGGACCCTCACTCACTGCCCCTACTCAAATAAACGTTCCCCATTCTCCCCAAGCACCTGCAGAACTTTTTCTGTGAGCTTCCAGCCGACGCACCTTCAAGCTAAAGAAAGACACTGTGGCCAGAGAGATGGCGCAGCGGGAGGGAACTGGTCCTGTGTGCCACCGACCTGGGTTCCATCCCGACACTGCACCGGGTGGGTCCCTCGGGTCCCTCCAGCAGTGGCCCCTGAGCAGAGTCAGGATGTGACCTGAGCCCCCACTCATCCCCCTCCCCCCCCAAAAAAATAATAATAATAATAATAAAAAATAAACCCTGGCCTCAGCCTTGCAAAAGTGCCAGTGGTAATCAGCCGGTGTGACCCAAAAGGAAAAAAACGTTAAAAAACAAGTAAAACGAAGCCCGCCTCATCCACAATGACGTCCAACAGCCGGGAAAGCTCAGCAGGGGCCAGAGCGGCCGCGCGGGGCGGTCAGTCCCGGCGGCGGCGGCAGGAGGGCGCCGAGAGGGAGCCGAGGGCCCCGCGGACACGGAGACGGGCGGCGGCCGCCCAGGGGGCGCCCCAGGGGCTCCCCCAAGCGCCCGCGGCGCCGCCGCGCCTCGCGGGGCCGGACCCGGCACGGGCGCCGCCATCTTCGGAACGCCCGCGGCACCGCCCCCCGCGGCGGCCGAGCCAATGGCAACGCGCGATGGGGCCGGAGCGGCCAATGGCAACGTGCGCCGGGGAAGCCGGCTCGGCCAATAGCAACGCGCGGACGGGAAGCCGGAGTGGCCAATGGCAACGCGCGGATGGAACTGGACCAGCCAATGGCAACGCGCGATGGGGCCGGAGCGGCCAATGGCAACGCGCGGATGGGACTGGACCAGCCAATGGCAACGCGCGATGGGGCCGGAGCGGCCAATGGCAACGCGCGGACGGGAAGCCGGAGCGGCCAAGCCGGCGGGCGGGAACGAGCGGCTGCGGGGAGCGGGTCGCGCGCGCCTTCGGCCCCGGGCTGGTGCGGGTCCCGGGCAGGGGCGCTTCTGCCGTCTCCGCGGCCCGGGGGGGTCAGACCCAGGCCTGGCCCGTGCAGGGCGGGCAGGCCCCGTCTGGGGTCAGCGCTGCCCTCCCGGGCCCGCGTCGCCCACGGCCGCTGGCGTCGAAGGGTCGAGAAACAGAACCGGCCGTTTGGACGGACCGGGCAGCGGGGGCCCCGGGCCAGCCCCCCGGACTCCGAACCCGGACCTGGTACCGGGATCACTCCCGGCGCCGCCTGGGGGCACCAGATGGGCTCTGGGCCTAATCCCTGTCCTGACTTTGGGGTCCCGACAGGCTAGTGATTCCTTCCGGGGGGGTCGTGAAGACCCTGGTTTGCTGCCCAGCCCCCTGCCGCCGCCACTCCCGGGACCCCCTGGCACCTACAAACACGCTGCCCACGAGCTTAACGATGCACATGAGCTTTGTTGCATTGCCTTGACCTTGTACTATCTCTCTGGCTCTGTGGAATTTTTTTTTGGGGGGGGGGTTGGTTGGGCTTGGGTTTGGGGGCCCGGTGATATTAGGGCTTACTCCAGGCTCTGTATTCGGGGGTCACACCTTCCCTGGCCGGGTTTCCCTTCTAGAACCTGTTCTCCGGTACATCCGACTCACAAGGATGCGAGGGAGGGAGCCCGGTCACAAGAGGCGAGGGAGGGAGCCCGGTCCCAGAACAGGCACTGCAGAGGTCCCCAGGGCGCCACCAGAGTAGCCCCTGGGTCACACCCACTGCAAAGGGGAGACTGAGTCTTGTTCAGCTGACTTAACGGTGTCATTCCATAGCTACGTGGAACTTCCCACCGGGGCCCGAAAGCCACCACCGATTGCAAACAGGAACAGCGGGCTGGGGTCCCAGAGGGGCATGGTTAAAGGCCAGTGATCGTTTGCGTCATGGACGCCTGCTGAAACCGCTTTTTCTGGCTTCTGTAGCTATTCGCTTTGCTTGAGCTTGAGTCAACTGACTGAGCACCGGGATGTGAGTTGTGTGTGTGTGTGTGTGGGGGGGGGGTGCTCAAACAAATTATGAAAATGCTGCCGTAAGCGCTCCGGCACCAGGATGTGCTTTTTTTTTTTTCTTTTTTCTTTTTTGGGTCACACCCGGCAATGCACAGGGATTACTCCTGACTCTGAACTCAGGAATTACTCCTGGCAGTGTTTGGGGGACCCCATGGGATACTGGAATTGAACCCGGGTCAGTCACATGCAAGGCTAACGCCCTCCCCGCTGTGCTATCGCTCCAGCCCCGGGATGTGCTTTTTCCTAGTAAAAGGTGGCGCTTCTGGCCTCACCTAGCAGGACTCCTCCAAATTCTAATTTTTGGTCTCTGGTGGTCTTTTGATGTGACTCCTCCCCCCCACAGCACCACAAAACCAAAAACATATCTATCTTCCTGTGCACCCAAGAAGGTAGGAAATATTGTAGACACAGAGATAGGGAGCCTGGGAATGAGTTTTCCAGAGACAGTAAAATAAAGAAATTGCCCTGTGAGCGCCTTAAACTTGTACTATCTCTCTGGCCCTCTGTGGAATTTTTTTGGGGGGGGGGGGGTTGGTTGGGTTTGGGTTTGGGGGCCATACGCGGTGATATTAGGGCTTACTCCTGGCTCTGTATTCAGGGGTCACACCTGGCAGTGTTCAGGGGACCGTATGGGATGCCGGGGATCAAACCCTCCCTGCTGTACTGACCCTCTGGGATTCTAAAGGAGACGTACATGGCCTCAACTGCGCATGTTCCGGGCCCCATGGGCTTTGGTTCCTAAGAGAGGGTAGATTTGGGTGTTCTGGAGACAGGGCGCCCCTCCCTGTGCTCCCACATTGCACCCCTTTCCCCAGGACTGCCCGTGACCACTGCCAGGGTAGGGACCGCCCCCCTCTCCCGAGTCCCTTCTGCAAACAGGCCCTGTGCCTGCCAGGTCAGTCAGAGAGCAAATGTTTACCCTCAGATCACGGTGCCCCGGGAGAGAGTTGTGCAAGAAGGTGCAACCAGAGGCAGAGAGATAAGCAGGAGTGAGGGTTCAGCTGGCACAGCTGCCCAGCCAGATGCCGGCCACGTCCTGTGCTCATGGGGTTGCCTGTGCCCAGTTGTGACCCTCTTTCAGATCCAAAAAAAATATGCCCATGGATGTAGTTGACTTCAAGCCTCTGAGGGAGAGTCCCACTGTCCTTTTGGAGACTTGCAAAGCAAAGGGCAGGGAGGGCTTGCCTTTCACACAAACTTGGAGTATTTTATTTTAATTTGGAATTTGGGGACCACACTTGTCCGTGCTCAGGGGCACTCCTCAGGAAGTACCAGGGTTAGGACCCGGGATTAGCCATGGACAAGGTAAGCCTCCCCACTAATTGTCCCGCCTTTAAATAATAACTTTTTCTAGTTCATTTTTGGTGTAGGAAACAGGCAATCTTTCAAGTTCCTTTTTCACATTTTTCTTTTTGTTTTGTGGCCATGCCTGGTGTTAGAGCGCGGATCGTGATCTCCCTTTCACGACAAAGAGATTCCAGAAACTGCAAACAGCAAGCAGGGTTTATTGTAAGACTGGCTAGCCAGGGTCGGGCCGCCTACACAGACACGAAAGTCCGGCAGGTTAGGTAAGACCCCAAGCTTCTTCAAAGGAGAGTTTATATAGCCCTTCACTGGCCGTTACAGCAGAGCCCGTGCATTTCATGGCCAAAGGATTCGTAACAACATATACTTTCTTCACCAATCCATTTAAAAGTACATCACTCCTTAGCCTATAAATTCAAAGATCAGCATTTATGTACATGGGCATTGTGGCTAGCGGGTATCTCATAACTCGTAACTCGTGACAGACATCTGGTTATCTTCGATGTCTCTACCCGGCTCCCTGCGATTTACAGCTCAGGACACCAGCATCCGGATGGAGGTGGATAAGGGAAGAGTTACTAGCGGAGGGTCGATGAGGAAGAGTCAACAGGGGAGGCAGGATTTACATCTCAGGGCTCTACTAGTGAGGGGCAGATAAGGAAGAGTCACTAATCAGCAGAGTTTAGCTCTGGAACTTCCCTCAGGGTCCCACGGGACTTTACACCTGGCAGTGCTCAGGGATCTTAGCGCTGTGCTCAGGGATCACTCTTGGTGGGACTCAGGAGATACCTGGTTGGTGGCCTCATGCGAGACAAACGTCCTCTGGCTGGGCTAACTGTCTGGCTCCAAATTTCTTCTCAAGTTTCTTAAGGTTGACTGGAAAAGAAATACTCAAAATGCCATGACACACAGGCTGGAGCGGTAGTACAGCGGGGAAAGCGTTTGCCTTGCACAGGACTGAGCGGGTTCGATTCCCAGCATCCCATATGTCCCCTGAGCACTGCCAGGAGAAATTCCTGAGTGCAGAGCCAGGAGGAACCTCTGAGGGCTATTTGAGTGTAACTCAAAAATCTAAAAATCTAAAAAAAAAAGATGAATAAGTAAATAAAATGCCACAACACTGACATTAATGCCTCCTACACCTGAGTACTCACAGTTCACTGCAAGCCCTGACACCAAAGCCAGTGCAGACACTCCCAGCCCGCCTGTCATTCGACAGATCCTCCGAGGTTCGCTGTGGCTTGCTGGGCGCGTGTCCTGGAGGGGAGAAGCGAGGCCAGTTCCCAAGTGGAGCCAGCAGGAGGCCAGAGCTGTGGGGAATGAAGGCTGGGGAGAGTCCAGGGCGGAGGAATTCCTAGCTGCAGGCGAGGCTTTCTGGACAGACAGCATCGGCAATGTGGAGAATGTCGCTTGGAGAGAGGGAGGGGAGGGCCACACGGGGGAATGGAGATGGTGGAGGAGCTTTGGGGCCACACCTGGAGGTGCTCAGGGCTTCCTCCTGGCTCTGTACTCGGGTATCACTCCTAGCAATGCTCGGGGACCAAATGGGGTGCCAGGAATCAGGCCCAGGCAAGCGACCTGCCCACTGTGCTAGCCGGCCCCTGCATCTGTCCAGAAGGGCCACGTGGCCGTGGGCTTGTGGAGAAACTGGCTCCCTCTGCCTGGCTTCCCCGCTGAGAGCAGCTCCCTGGGCCTGAAGCTCGGATTTTAGCATTTTTCATTTGGCCATAAAAATACAGTCTCTGGGGCTGGAGAGATAGCATAGCGGGGAGGGCGTTTGCCTTGCACATGGCCGACCTGGGTTCGATTCCCAGCATCCCATATGGTCCCCCGGGCACCGCCAGGGACAATTCCTGAGTGCAGAGCCAGGAGTAACCCCTGTGCATTGCCAGGTGTGACCCAAAAAGGAAAAAAAAAATACAGTCTCTGTCATACAGGTGGTGTGCTTGCCTTGCATGCAGCTGACCTGGGTCCAATCCCCGGCACCACAGACGGTCCCACGACCGCCACCGGGAGTGATCCCTGAGCACAGAGCTAGGAGGAAGCCCTGCGCACCCGGGGATGTGGCCCCCCAAAAAAGCAAATGCACATATTCAATCTGTAAACAGAAGGCTGGAGGTTGCAGGTTGCAGGGCTAGCCATGAGGACAGCCTTCCCCCAGTCCGCAGGAGGAGAAGCAGAGAAGTTGAGGACCAGGGAATGAGGTGAAAGGGCCTGGCACAATGCCCGAATTCCTGAGGTTTCCGGTTACAGAGAGGAACCCCAGGAGGGCACCTTCAAAGCTCTGTTGGGGGGTCAGCTGGTAGGCGGTAGGCGGGCTGGGCGGAGCAGGAAGTGTGCGGGGTCTGTAGACCCAAGGGGACGTGGAACAGAAAACACTGTATCTGGAGGCTGCTGGCCATGGTGGGGACGCCCCAGGCTGAGCGTTTCAGCTGATGATCACCGGGCGGGGAGCGAGCCACGGAGAGCCCAGGACCTCAGAGACGGCCGACCCCCACCACGGAAAGACTGGAATTCAACGCAGGATTTCCATTGACCGTGCCCGGCTCCCAGGCCGTTGTTAAATTGGGAAATCCTAACTGGGAATCATCTGGAATGACAATCCAATGATCAGGCATCCGAACACTGACGAGATGTGACTGGATGGTGGTGGAGAGGGAAGGTGGGGAGAGAGAAATGTTTAGGCGAGAGACGCACTAGAATTGGAGCTGGAGAAAGAGCGCGGGCGAAGGGTGCTCATCTTGCGTACGGCCGGCCTGCGTTTGATCCCCAGCACCCCATAGGGTCCCCCGAGCCCCGCCAGGAGCAATTCCTGAGCTCAGAGCCAGGAGGAACCCCTGAGCATCACAGGTGTGGCCCCCAAACAAACAAAATCACTAGAACTTGACAAGTGACAGAAACAAGGGCTGTGAGGAGGGAGTGGGATGAGTCTCTCTCTGGGCCCCGACTGGCAGAGAGAGAGAGAGAGAGAGAGGAGAGAGGGAGAGAGAGAGAGAGAGAGGAGAGGGAGAGAGAGAGAGAGAGAGAGAGAGAGAGAGAGAGAGAGAGAGAGAGAGGAGAGAGAGAGGGAGAGGGGGGGAGGGGGGAAGAAAAAGAGAATTATACATTTCTTTAGGGCCTGGGGACCTCACTGGGGAGCACACCCCCGGCATGAGTGGGCTCTGAGGCAGCCTTGGCACCCAAAGGCACCAAGCGGTGCTGGCTGTGGTGGCTCTAGAGGACCAAGTTCCTGCATGTGTCCCCACGGCTGGCACTGTGCATTCGGGCCATTAACGTTTGTTCCAGCAGGAGGCGGCTATGGTCCCTTGGGTGCAGCTGGGGTCAACGGGACCCAGGAGGGTATCAGTCCCCTTCTCAGAAGCCCCCTCCCCTGCAAGCAGGGCCGTGAGATTGAGGGGCTTCACACAGAGGAGGGGGTGAAGGCGCTTGTTTGGCACATGGACAACCGAGGGTGGACACCCCCAGCACCACACTGAGCACTGCCAGGAGTAAGTCCCGAGCACTGCCTGGCTGAGCCCTAAAGCCAAACAACAGAGACATTACTGGATGGACCTTCCCGGACAGACGCCCCTCCCTGAACTCCCTAGTGCTGGGAGCGGCTGAGTGGGGCGGGACCACCCGGGGCCACTCTCCTGTGACTCTCCCAGGCTCCAGCATTAATGTGTCGACCCCGGAGATGCAATTGGTGCTGATTAAAACTGCTTGTAAGGGGGCTGAGATAGTACAGTGGGCTGGGCATTTGCCTGGCACGAGGCCGACCCAGGCTTCATCCCCAGCACCCTAGATGGTCCCCTGAGACCCCCCCCCAGGAGTGAACTATGAGTACAGCCAGGTGTGGCCTAAGAACAAGCAAAACACATTCCAGTGTGAGCCGCTGGGGATCATGCAGGCATCAGCACATTAAATGAAACCCGTGGGCACAATGGACACAAGCCGGGGTGGCAGTGACAAAAGTCACGCGATGGGGAGAACTGGTCTCACCCACCAGGCCATGGCCTCAGCTCCTGCAGGCCATGGTGCCCAACAGGACCTTCTGCCAGAACTGTGCACTGTCACCTCCTCCCACAGACACCGCAGGAAGGAGCGCAGGAGTGATGGTGGCCGGGAGGGATGGAGGGGGTGTTCCTAGAAGGCCTTTGCTGGAGGTTATGGCGTTATTGCTGTGGGGTTAACCACACCGTCCAGTATCGCCCCTGGGACCTATCAGCATTCTTCCTTACTGACTCTACAAACCAGCCTTTCACATTCTTTCTGCCTTCCCTTCTACTGGTTTCCGAACCAATGGCTTAAATCTTGGATATATAAAGAGAACGGAGATGTAAGTTCTTCTCTCTCTGCATATAAGTTCTCTCTCTCTCTCTCTCTCTCTCTCTCTCTCTCTCTCTCTCTCTCTCTCTCTCTCTCTCTCTCTCTCTCTCTCTCTTCTGTGTGTGTGTTAGCTTGGGTTGATTTTTGGTTTTTGGACCCTACCTGGCAGTACTCAGGGCTCAAGCCTGGCTATGCTCAAGGGACCAGATGTACTGCAGGTCCTGTCCACTGTTCATTTGGGGAGGATCATGCAGAGCTCAGTATTGAACCCAGGCCTCCAGCCAGCCAACGTCTACACTGGCGCTGGTGAGGGTGATGTGGGGTTGGGGGAGGGTGTTACACCCTTCAGTGCTTGGGCTCCTGAAGTGCTCAGGGCAGCACGGAACCAAGGTCAGCAGCATGAGACCAAGTATGTCAAGCCCTGTGACCATCTCTCAGGTCCTCCTGCACTTTGAAATCATCCTCTGACAACGAGCTCACTTTCCACCCGCCCTTGCCCCCAGCGGGTCACTTGCATTGTGAAGGGTCTTCACAGTCCAGGCGGGCACTCTGAAACCTGCGCGTTTTCTCTGGGGTCCCAGGGGTCATCCCCTGACTGTCCGTGTGGTCCCCGCGACCTTCCTTGCGGGGCGTGCCCTCTGTCACCTTGTAAGATCTCTGAGCAAGTCCAAAGGGTCCTGCCTGCCTTCAGTCTGAATCACAGCTACCTGGAACTCAGGTCTGCCTGGGAGGGGCAGATGATTCGAGGCCACCAGCCTGGCCCAGCCGGTGACCTGGGACTCAGACTCGGACCCCGGGCGACCTCAGGGCAGATCACCCAGCTAACCTGGCCACGGCAGCAAAAGGGGCGCCACTGCTGCCCCCAGAGCTGCTGGAAGAGCCGCAGCTCCTGGCTCCCCGGGGGGCCGACCACGGCGCCAGCATCCTTCAACTTCTAGAACGTGGGCGGGTCTCGGGCATCCAGTCACTTCATCCCGGGACTCGGTCCCCAAAGCCGCCAGCCCGGCTCCGTCCCGGCTCCGCCCCGACTCGCCTTGACCTATAGCGTCCCGGGCCGCCTCTCGCCCGCCCACCGCGCCGACCTATTGCCTTCCAGCGCCTCTCCCTCAGGCCCCGCCCCTTCCCCGCTTCTGACCAATGACGAGCCGCCGCCCTCCTCGCCTACCCGGCCCGCCTTCTCGCTCGTGCCCTGCGGACTTTGGGCCTCGGGCCCCGTCGCGGCCCCGCCCCCTCATTCTTATTCCGGCCTATCGCGTCCCGAGCCGCCGGGCCCGCCCACCCGCGCCGACCTATCGCGGCCGGCCCCGCCGCGGCCCCGCCCCGCGGGCTCGGTGCGGGCCCGGGCCGGGCTCGGGGGTGGCTGGCCATGGCCGGAGTGGCGGGGCGGCTGGCGCGGCGCTGGTGTCCGGGCGTGCTGCGGAGGTGAGCGGGGTCACGGCCCCGGGCCCCGGCAGGGCGCTGGGCGCTGGGCGCAGGGGCGGCAGCCCGACCCCGCGCGCGGGCTCTGCGGGAGGCGCAGCTGCAGCGGGACCCGGGGCGCGGCCCAGGGCAGGGGACGTCCGGGCCAGCGGCCGGCGGGGAGCGTGACCGCTCCTGGGCCCGCGGCCTGGGGGCCACCTCTGCAGGGTTCGCTTGGCCACTCGCTTCATGCTGTTTGTCCGGTGCCGGTGCCCAGGGCTTCCTCCTGCCTCTGCTCCCGGGAATCACCCCCCGGGCGGGCTGGGGGCGGGGGGCCCTGCGGGTGGGTCCCTGCGGGTGGGTCCCTGCAAGGCCAGCCCCTCGCTGCCCGTCCTCTCTCCCCCGCCGGCCCGGGCGGCTCACTCTGTTCCCAGATCAGGCTGCGCTCCGCGTCTTGTGGGGTCGCCCCCTTTTAAGCGGCCGGTGAGCGGCTTAAGCGCGACTTTTGTTTTCTGCTTGGAGCTTGCCAAGTTCCGCCTGGACCGAGCCCAGTTCACTGGAGTGGCATTTGGGCCCAATTATGCAGAAAATCATTCCGCGAGGTAGTGGTAAATCAGTAATTCGGAACGTGTTGGAGACTGATTTTTTTTCTTCTTTTTTGGGTCACACCCGGCGATGCACAGGGGTTCCTCCTGGCTCTGCACTCAGGAGTTACTCCTGGCGGTGCTCAGGGGACCATATGGGAGGCTGGGAATCGAACCCGGGTCGGCCGCGTGCAAGGCAAACGCCCTACCCGCTGTGCTATGGCTCCAGCCCGATTTTTTTTTATTATTATTCGATTAAATTCACACCAGCATACCGAGGCTTGCCCCCTCTGTTCTCCACTGCAGATAGGCAAGGGGAGGTACTGCCATAGGTGTGGGCTTCCTTTGTAACCAGCATTAACCAGTATTAATCACCGTTGATGCCATTAACTTTCTTATTCAGGGCCATCTCTGTGAACATCCTGTGTGTGCTGGTGGCTGCAATACTTGCCGGTTTCCCTCCCCTGCTCTCACTGTGTGCTTAACGCCCCCTTCCCGGGACCGCTGACTCTGCCCTGCGGGCTGGCGGGTTGGGCATCAGGTGAGCTGGGGTTCATCTGCTCAGCTCAGGGTCTCCGCGGCTTCGGGTTCCCCGAGGAAGGGAGAGTCTGTCCCGAACCCCAGCAAGTGTGCTCCTGCCCTTCCGAAGCTGTTCCTGTAGCCTCACGCCCCCTCCCCGGCCCCGGCTGGCTTGGAGGTTGGGACTCCTGTTTTGCTGAACAGAGGAGGTGCCATCAGCGCGGGGCAGAGACTCTTCCCAGATCCTGGGACACAGGACTGAGTCCCGCCCCTGCACTGTGCCCTCCTAGTCAGTGGCTCACTTCGCTCCTACTTCACTCCTACTTCCTTTGCTTCTTGCCTTGGCAAAGGCGATGTAACCTTTCAGCCCTTCCGGTCCAAGTTGCTTTTATGTATATCTTGTTGCTGAAGCGCAGCAAATCCCATGCTGAATTTGTAGCTTTCTTTGCCTTAGTTTTGCCTTGCTTTCTTATCTCGGCATCGTCTTGGAAACCTCTCACCACTTCCGCCAGACAAGGGTAGATGAGGTCCACGTGCTTTGCCAGAACGTCGCTGGCCGGGGAGGGACGGGCATCTTGGAAACCAGCCTGCTCGCTCGAAGCCCCGTACAGGTCACCTGCGCCCCGGCCTTGCAGCTGCACGGGAGCCGGCCAGCCATGAGAGCCACTCAGCAGGACTTTGAGAACGCCATGAATCAGGTGAAACTCTTGAAGAAGGACCCAGGAAACGAAGTGAAGTTGAAACTCTACGCGCTGTATAAGCAGGTGAGGGACCACGGGCGTTTCCGGCCGCGGACTCCTGAGATCAACCCGCTCTGTGTTTGGCTGACTTGGTCGCGCTGCAGGGCTTGCTCTGTGCTCCCCTCTGGAGTGGCCGCGTGAGAGCACAGGCACTGGGCGTGGGGACACAGGTGTCCCTGCTTTCCGGAAGTTCACCTTACACCACTTTGCTTTCTGCAAAACACTTGCGTTAGTGCTGGGTCCGGGAGCTGGAAGCAGTGGAGAGGGAGATTTGCTTCTGCCAGGGTGAGAGGTGTCAGCACTGAGTTCACAGCAGCTCGCAGTGCACCTGCGGGTGCTTCCGGCCCCCAGCACTTCACGGAGCCCTCAGAGCAGATGCAGGCCCTGTCACAAAGTGGTCCTGTCCTCTCTGTGATGTCACTGGATGTTTTAAGTGCTATTGGTAGGTTATCTTAGGGGGGTCTGGGAATGCTAAAAGAAATTCCACATTAACAGGTTGTTCTCTTTCCACCATCCCAGCTTACAAAGGGTTTTTTTGTTTGTTTGTTTGTTTGTTTTGCTTTTTGGGTCACACCTGGCGATGCACAGGGGTTACTCCTGGCTTTGCACCCGGGAGTTACTCCTGGCGGTACTCAGGGGACCATATGGGATGCTGGGAATCGAACCCGGGTCTGCCGCGTGCAAGGCAAACGCCTTACCCACTGTGCTATCTCTCCAGCCCCAAGCTTGCAAAGGGTTTTAGGGCAAAGGTTGGCTTTTGGGGGGAGGGCCAGGGGCTTGGTCGAGTAGGAGGGAGGCTGGGCTTAGCCGGTGCGGCTTGAGGAACCTGCCTGCTAGTGATCCGGCCAGGAGGGCCATGTACAAAGCAGGACCTCTCACCCATGTGCTGTCTCTTGGACCAGGGAATGGTCTACTTTTGGGTAACGGGACATCTATACAATTAAGGAAAAAGATAATCCCTCTGGATTATTCCAGAGAAAAGGAGATTTAAAAGATGTAACCTGGGGGCTGGAGTGATAGCACAGCGGGGAGGGGAGGGCATTTGCCTTGCACACAGCTGACCAGGGTTTGACTCCCAGCATCCCATAGGGTCCCCTGAGCACCGCCAGGAGTAACCCCTGAGCACCGCAGGGTATGACTCATAAAAAAGCCAAAACAAAAAACTTAGATTTTTTTTTTTGGCAGAGGGGGACGGGCACGCCTAGCAGTGACTCCTGGCTGTCCTCAGGGACCACTCCTGGTGGGACTCGGGGACCTGAAGGGGATTGAACTCGGGTCAGCCACGTGCAACCACCCTCTGTGCTGTAGTGTTGCTCCAGCCCCCAAGACTAGTGTCCAGAGGTTTCCCTGGAAGAAGTCGGTCCCTCTGGGCCCATGTGTGTGCTTGTTACCCCGTGATGGGCATGAGCGCCTTCTCAGTCAACTCTATATTAATGTTTAAATTTGCACAGTGATTGGGTGGTTCCATGGAGTTTTGAATCACTGTGTCTGAGACGCAGCTGGGCATGTATTTTCTTCATCTCGACACACTTGTCCCACATACCCTAAAGTCGGTGAAATCGAGTTGCTTGTGGTTTTCTCTTCGTATGTCCAGATCTGTCTCCTGACAGCCGGAGGCCGTACCCTACCGCCATCCAACCCCAGTACGGTGACTCACCTACCACCCACACGTCAGCGACCTCTCTGGGTGTTTAGTACCTTTGTGGAGCTTCTGAGTGCTTGTTGGTCAAGTCACTTTGAAGAGTGTGCTAGAGTGTTGCCTGTGTGTGGAAAACACGATCACCGATATCAAACTAATGGACAATTCAGATTCTCTTTCATTTATTTATTTTTTTTCTTTTTGGGTCGCACCTGGCGATGCTCGGGGGTGACTCCTGCCTGGCTCTGCACTCAGGAATTACTCCTGGCGGTGCTCGGGGATTGTATGGGATGTCGGGGATTGAACCCGGGTCGGCCGCGGTCAAGGCAAACACCCTCCCCGCAGTGCTATTGCTCCAGCCTCTCAGATTCTCGTTAGTGTCTCTGCCCCAAACCCTTGCTTTGCACTGCTGTGCGTGCAGTTAAAACTGCATTAAAATAACTGACTTTAGGGCTGTTTTCAATCCAGAAAGGCCCGGGTGCTCCCATGAGCACGTGTTCCTTTTTCTCACCTCACATCTTTCTCTGTATGAATCTCTTTCAATAAAAGCTGTCTTGCTTCGGGGCTGGAACAATAGCACAGCGGGTAGGGCGTTTGCCTTGCACATGGCTGACCTGGGTTCGATCCCCAGCATCCCCTAGGGGCCCCTGAGCACTGCCAGGAGTAACTCCTGAGTGCAGAGCCAGGAGTAACCTTTGTGCATTGCCGGGTGTGACCCAAAAACCAAATAAATAAAAACTGTCTTGCTTCACTGGAAAAACAAAAACAAGTGGTTTTAGGGGTTGAGCTAATCTCAGTCTTCCCTCTCTGCCTCCCTTCCCCTCCCCCACTCCCCTCCTTCCTTCCTTCCCTTTGAGCCTTTAACTGCATTTAGGCTGGAGGTGGGGAAGGCAGGAGGGGAGACGCTCTGGTCACTGTCTGCGGCGTCCTTGTGGAACTACTTGGCCAGGGCCAGGCAGCCGGTCACCTGTGCACTGAGGGAGTTTTCAGTGCTGAATGCCCCAGCCTGGCCACTCAGCTGACCCTTCCCTGCCCTCTCCTCCCCTCAGGTCACCGATGGGCCCTGTAACACCCCCAAGCCGGGAATGCTGGACTTCGTCAACAAGGCCAAGTGGGAGGCCTGGAAGGAACTGGGCAGCCTGCCCCAGGTGACCGCTTCCTCTGCCCGCGGTGACCGCCGTCACCTCTGCTCCGACGTCACGGCCTCAGCTGCGCCGGGTTCTCGGGACGCTTCCTCCCTGGCCTGTGGCTGATGCCCCGTCGCCCTCTTTCAGGAAACCGCCAGGCAGAACTACGTGGACCTAGTTGCCAGGCTGAGTTCCTCCGAGGCCCCGCGCCCGGCCCGGCCCACCGCCGAGGGGCCGCGATCAGGCTCTGACGCCGTGCTGGTGAGCTCGGAGGGCGCCATCACCAAGATCACGCTGAACCGGCCCAGCAAGAAGAACGCCATCACCACTCAGGTACCCTCGCCACGTGCAGCCACCTGCGCTCCTTGGGCGTCCGCGGTGTGGACACGGCCCACTGCCTGTGGGTGCCCGGAATGCGCGGGTGTCCTGACGGCCGAGCACAAAGCAGGGAGACGAATGAGGCACTGCCGGTGTGGCCCCGAGCTGGGAAAAACTGTGGTTCAGCTGTGCCAGGGCATCTTCACGGCTCTCGGCCTGGAGAGCCAGGGACAGACGGGGGAGGCCCCTCCCGGCAGTCAGCGATGCCACGAGGGCCACTTGGGATGATGACAGAAATCAGCAGCAGCAGGGCGCCGAGCCAAAGCCCAGGGCGCAGGACGCTTGCCTTGTTCACAGCCAACCTGGGTCCGATCCCCGGCATCACATACAGTCCCCAAGCCCACAGGAGTGATCCCTGAGCACCTAGGTGTGGCTCAGAACCAAAAACCCAAAGCAATAGCAGAAGGGGAAAAAACTCCTTCCCTTGTTTTTTTTTTTTCTTTTTTTTCCCCTTTTTGACTCACACTCAGCAGCAATGCTCAGGGGTTTCTCCTGGCTCTGCACTCGGGAATTACTCGGTGCTTGGTGGGGACCCTATGGGACGCCGGGGATTGAACTCGGCTCGGCCGCATGCAAGGCAGACGCCCGCCCTGCTCCGGTCCCTTCTTCCCTTTTCCCTTGGGAAAAAACATACACAGGAGATGAGTGCGATGTCTTGTGCTGTCCTGGGGAGTGAAAGTCCCGGCGGCCGCCCTCGAGTGGACCGTCCACGCCGAGGCAGGAAGTGTGCCTCCCCGCAGCGCGGGTCTATGTCTCTGCGCTTTGGTTTGCTGTTTTCTGGGTCGCGGGAATGACTTGGGGGTCAAACCTGGGTCTTCGCTCTCCGTGTCTCCCTCCGCACAGATGTACCAGGATATCATGCAGGCGCTGAAGGCCGCGGGTGACGATGACTCGGCCATCACCGTTCTTACAGGTGACGCGTCGCCGTCCTAAGCAGAGCTCTGGCGGCAGGGTCCTGCCAGACGGGAAGCGGGGGGGCCCCGAGATCTTTCTCAGCACTGGGGAACTCGGCGTCTTAAATACGGAGCAGCCGTGGTGGATTTAGGACCGGTCTTTCTGTCTTGTTTTGTGTTGGCGGGACCCACCGCAGTTCTGAGCTCGGGACCACAGGCATCCCGGGGTCCAAGCGGGGTCTGCCGCCTGTGGGCAAGAGCTTTCGCCCTGGGGCCACTACTTTCTCTGTTTGTGTGGTGTTGTTTTGGCGCCAAGGGCTCGGAGGTTACTCCCAGCTCTGCACACTGTTTGGGGGACCATATGGGATGCTGGGGCTGGAACCCGGTTGGCCGTGTGCAAGGCCGACGCCCTCCCCGCTGGACCGGGTCTCCTGCCCCCGGACTGATACTTCCAGTATGTGAGAAGTAGATACAAATTGTTAACTCACAGTGTGGCCATGGTCAGTCTCCAGACCATGAGCCCTCGAGCAGCATGCCAGGAGTAGCGCCCAGCACCTCCAGGTGTGCCACCCAGATTGGTAAGAGAAATCCTAAGAGTGACCGGACCAGCCGGTGAGCGAGAGATGGACGTGTCCCGGCGGTGGCCAGGGCTGGAGCTCGCGCTGCACACAAGCACCCAGGTCCCAAGCCCAGCTCTGCCGGCACCCTGGGACCTCCACAGGACTCCACGGGAAGTGGCCCCTGAGCCCCCGGGTGGGCCCCAAACGAACAAAACGTAAGGCAGTTTACCTGAGACGGTCCAGCGCTATCCAGACAAGGGAAATCGCAAATAAGGTTCAGAAGTACCGTTCAAGTGAGGGGTCGTGTTCCGCTAGCTTGTCTGAGAGACAGACTTGACCTGCACCCCGGGTGGGCAGTGAAGGCAGAGCAGGAGCCTGTGTTCTCTCCGGCAGCAGCGTGTGTGGCTGTAAAGAGACACAGAGAAGCGAGAGGACCTTTGTTGGCACAGAAAAGGGGCAGGTCGAAATTTGCTTCTCAGTGGACGAACATGGAGAGTCTCACGCTAAGTGCAACGAGTCAGAAAGAGAGGGACAGACATAGAGTGACGGCACTCATTTGTGGAATATAAAATACCGTAACAGGAGACGACACCCAAGGGCAGTAGACACAAGGGCCAGGACGATATTGCTCCATAGTTGGAAGCCTGCCTCAGGCAGCGGGGAGAGAGAAGGATCACTAAGTCAGCGATGGCTGGAGGGATCGCTCGGGACGGGAGACGTGTGCTGAGAGTAGATCAAGGACCAAACGTGATGGCCTCGCAGTATCTGTTTCAAACCATAATGCCCAGAGAGAGAGAGGGAGCAAGAGGGAAACTGTCTGCCATGGAGGCAGGGGGAGGGTTGGGAGCAGGGGAGAGATACTGGGGACGTTGGTGGTGGAAAGTGTGTCCATCAGTGGAGGGATGAGTGTTTGATCCTTGTATGACAGAAACTCAAACATGAAAGTTTTGCAACTGTAGCTCACGGTGATTCAATTCAAAAGAAAGCAAGCAAAGAGAAAGGGCGTGTCCTTGGAGCTGGAGAGATGCCACAGCGGGTAGGGCCTTGCACGTGCCCGGTGACCTGGGTTCGGTCCCCAGCAGCCCTTACGGTCCCCCAAGCCCCACCAGGAACTAGCCCAACCGCTGGGCGTGGCCCAGAAACAGAGCAGCGATGATGAACGGCCTGTCCTTGACTTGACGCAAGAATCCCGCGTATAGGAACCTCCGGAAGCTTCCAGGGGAGGGAGAGGAGGCGCCTGGGAAAGAGAGGCCGTCTTAGCAGCGCCCGGGAGCCGGCGGCAGGGGCAGGTCCCGGGCGGAGCGGAGTGACGGTCTTTTCCCGCAGGGAGCGGGGACTATTACTGCAGCGGGAATGACCTCTCGAACTTCACGGACATCCCCCCGGGCGGGCTCGAGGAGAAAGCGAAGAACAGTGCCGTCTTGCTGCGGTGAGAGGGGGCCCATCCCGCGCCGGAGGGAGCTCGGCGGGCTGAGCCTGTGCGGCAGCCGCGGGTTCAGTCCTCAGCGTGGCTCATACCCGGGTGCTGGGAGTGACCCCAGGCAGGGATAGGAGTAGGCCCAGCACACTCAGCAGTGCTCAGGGCTCACTCCTGGCACTGTGCTCAGGGTCAGTCCCAGCTTTGTGCTCAGGGATCACTCCTATTTCTGTGCTCAGGACTGACTCCTGGCTCAGTGCTCAGGGCTCACTCCTGGCTCTGTGCTCAGGGCTCATTCCCGGCTCTGTGCTCAGGGTCACTCCCGGCTTTGTGCTCAGGGATCACTCCTATTTCTGTGCTCAGGGCTCACTCCCAGCTGTGCTCAGGGATAACTCCCAGCTCTGTGCTCGGGGCTGATTACTGGCTCTGTGCTTAGGGCTTATTCCCAGCTCTGTGCTCAGGGCTCATTCCCGGCTCTGTGCTTGGTGCTGACTCCTGGCTCTGTGCTCAGGGATCACGCCTGGCTTTGAGTTCAGGGCTCACTCCTAGTAAGGCCTGTGGTTCCAGAGACCCTACACAGTGACAGGGGACCAGGGACTGAACCCAGATTGGCCGTGTGCAAGGCAGGTGCCCTACCCTCTCTGTATTTCATCTCTCTGGCTGCAAGAACCAATATTTAGCTGCACAAAAAATGAAAACCCGAATCCTAGGCCAGATAGATAGTATCGTCCAGGTGCCTCGCATGTGGCCCTGCACGGCCAGCAATGATCCCAGCAGAGCCAGGAAGAGCCCCCGAGAGGCACAGGTGTGGCCCTCACCGCACCCCCCAGAACAAACACAGAGACACTCCTGCGGGTGTCTCTGCGCACAGCCCTGCGGCGGGAGCTGCCCGGTCCCTCAGCCACCTGAGCCTGTCTCCTGTGGGGGCCGGGCAGGAAGGCCTGAGAGGCTGTGTCTGGGCTTCAGCGCATCCCTGTGGGCGCAGGGTTCCAGAAGCCCGGAGGCCAGTGGGTGGTTCTCCCCCTTTCCCAGACCCCCGAGTTCTCTGCTGCCCACCGCCCTCACCTTCCTGTCCCCGGAGAACCCAGACTGGACCATGGAGAACCCAGACTGGACCATGGCCCGGCTGGGCTTGCTCCGGGAGCCGCTCAGGACAGACCTGGGGGCGGGACAGGGGGCCGGTGGCCCCATCTGTCCCCTACAGTGCCTGCTTCTGCCTCCCCACTGCTGCAGGGACTTTGTGGCCTGCTTCATAGATTTCCCGAAACCCCTCGTCGCCGTTGTCAACGGGCCAGCGGTGGGCATCTCCGTCACCCTTCTCGGGCTGTTCGACGTGGTGTACGCGACTGACCGGGTGAGTCCGCCTGCGGGGACAGCGAGGCCCTTCACAGGCTTCTCGATTGTTTCGGGTTGGTTGGTTTGGGGGCACACCTGGTGGCGCTCAGGGCTGACTCCTGGGAGGCTCGGGAATCCCGTGGGATGCTGGGGATTGGACCCGTCAGCCGTGTGCAAGGCCAGCATCCCGCCCGCCATTCTCTCTCCAGCCCCATCGAAGGCGCACTTTTTTTTTCCTGGTTTGATTTGGTTTGGAGGGGGTCACACCCGGCGATTCTCAGGGGCGACTCCTGGCTCTCTGCACTCAGGAGTCACTCCTGGCAGTCCTAGGGAGACCTTATGGGATGCCAGGAGTCGAACCCAGGTCATCCGCATGCAAGGCAAATGCCCTCCCTGCTGTACTATTGTTCCAGCCCTTGAGGGTTTCGCTTTTTTTTTTCTTTTTGGGTCACCCCCAGCAATGCACCGGGGTTACTCCTGGCTCTGCACTCAGAAATTACTCCTGGCAGTGCTCGGGGAACCCTGTGGGATGCTGGGAATCGAACCCGGGTTGGCCACGTGCAAGGCAAACGCCCTCCCCGCTGTGCTATCGCTCCAGCCCCGAGGGTTTCACTTTCAAATCAGGGAGAGATACAGAAGGAAATTAGTTCTGAAAGGTCTGTCCTTGTAAGCACCAGACTGAGAGGCGTGGTTAGTGTGGGTTGGACTCCCCCCACGTGACCCTGTTTTCTCTGTTCCCGTCGGGGCTGTGGGGAGAGGCAGGGCGCTTGCTTTGCGCGCATGAGCCCGGGCGAGGACTGTTGGCTGCTTTGGCAGCAGATGGTCTTGCCTCTCCCGGGGCGGGACCAGCTCACAGGGCGGGGCCGTGTCTCCTGGCGCGCCTTGGCTGGCGTGTCCCCTGCGCAACACTGAGAGTCGCCCCCAAACTTCGGCACGCAGGAGGGAATCATGCTCGTGTTGGTGCCTGGAGCAGCCCTGGGCCTCATCCATGCTCAGCACACGTTCCACCACAGCCCACCAGTCCTGGGGTGCTCTGAGTTCCCCGCTCCCTGTGGGGGCGCGTGAGTGTGAGCTTCCGGTACCCGGAGCCTGCGAGGGGCTGGGACCCCCGATGGAGGAGCGCCGGGTCGGAGAGGCTGGAGCCTGCCCTGAGCGTCCGCCTCGCTCACGGGGTCCTGCTCACCGTGTCAGCTGCCGCAGTGGCCCTGCTCTGCCCTGGGCATCCGCCCGGCCGGCCGGGTCCCTCACACAGTAGCCGGCTGCCCCTCGGGCTGGGCGGGACTGGGGCTGTTCTTGTTTTCCTCGCCCGCCGCTGTGGGCTCAGCCTTCTCCGGCTCCTTCACCGAGTCCTGCTGAAGCACTGTCACCTTGGAGAAAGGAAGAAGAAAAGGGACAGACGGCTTTAACCGGCTCTGGTGGTTACTGGTCATGAGATCTTTTCAGCCAGAAACCCCCAAATGTTTAAGTCCATTTTGAACTCAAAATGAAGGCCAGTTTCTCCAATATATTCTTTATATAGTTTGTCAACCTAATATAAAAACGGGTGAATTGGGGGCTGGAGCAATAGCGCATTGGGGAGGGCGTGTGTCTTGCACGCAGCCGACCTGGGTTCCTGAGTGCAGAGCCAGGAGTAACCCCTGAGCATCGCTGGGTGCGACCCAAAAAGATAAAAGAACAACGACAAAACAGATGAATAAAGTCTGTGAAATGTAACGTAGAGGGGCCAGGGCGACAGCACAGCGGGGAGGGCATTTGCTTTGCACACGGCCGAATTGGGTTCAATCCCTGGCATCCTACATGGTCGTCCAAGCACCACCAGGAGTAATTCCTGAGTGCAGAGCCAGGAGTGACCCCTGAGCATCGCTGGGTGGGACCCAAAAAGCAAAAAAAAAAAAAAAATGCAATGTAGAAATGTGAATTAAAACGGCCATGAGCCTTTCCTCCACATTCGAGAGAATGGTTCCATCGGAACAGATTGACAGTGAGTGGCTTAGAGGCAAAGCATGTTCCTTGCAGGGCAGGAGAGCCGGGCTCAGTCCCCGGCAACAGTTGCACACACACACACACACACACACACACACACACACACACACATCGCACGTGCACCCTGATGGCAACAAAGTCTGGCAGGGCTCCGCCACGGCTGGCAGCCATTCTTCGCTGGCAGGAATGTCAAGTGCCACTTTGGCACCTCCTCAGGAGAGGAGGCCAGGCCCTGTGGCCCAATGGTCACCCGCAGGATCTAAAACGTTCCTGCAGAGCCCCGGGCCCAGGTCGGGTAGGCGGCTGCATTCATAGTCAGACCAGCATGCTGGGAGCAACATCCGTGGCTTCGTCTGTTGAAGGGACAATGCCCCGCGGCCCAGAGCAATGCGAGGGAACAGCGTGGTCACTCACAAAGCCTGTGGTGGGGACAGCTGGCCAGGCTGCCCCTGCAGCGCCCGCTCCTGGGATGTTCGTGGGGCAGACAGACGGGGCTGGAACCAGATGCTGGAACCAGATCTCGGGGTGCTGGCGAGCGGGGGTGTGCCCTTTCCCTGGCCGTGGTGGCCTTCTCTCCCCTCGAGGAGTGGGCAGTCTGTGTGTGTGTGTGTGTGTGTGTGTGTGTGTGTGTGTGTGTGGCCGCGGCCATCCCGACTCTGCGGTGTACTCAGCCAAGCATGGTGAAGCCAGCAGCGGTTTCTTAAAGCATGTGCCAAAGATGAGTGTCTGTCCTGTTCTTCCCTCCAGGCGACCTTCCACACCCCCTTTAGCCACCTCGGCCAGAGTCCGGAAGGCTGCTCCTCCTACCTGTTCCCCAAGATAATGGGCTCAGCCAAGGTAACTTCCAGAAACCCTGCAAAGAACCGCTAGGGGCGGGGGCCGTGCACAGCGGACTGGGCACCTGCCTTGCCTGCAGCTGCTTCTGGTTCCGTCCTCGGCACCCCGTAGGGTCCCCTGAGCACTGCCGGTGTCACCCAAAACCCAAACAAAGTTCTCGTTTTTCTGGGACTGGCTGTGGCTCAGCGTGAAGGACCTGCTGGCGTGGGCAGAGGCCCTGGGTTCAATTCCCGGCTCGGGGAACGTTGACTCCTTAATTTCCCGGTGGCCTGAGCATGGGTCTGCACCATCCTGGGCACTGCAGGCTTCTCTGAGCACTGGAACAGGAGCGAATCCCGGGGGTGTCCCCAAAAGCAAAACCAGAAGCTCGTGATTGGTGATTTGGTCCATGGTTCTGATCCTTTTAAGCAGCTTTTTCTCCCTTCGCCTCCATTGTGTTGCCGTTGCAGTTGGGGGCGGGGAGTGCCAGTGGCCTCAGAGGTGACAGGCAGCGAGCGGGTGGGCTGCAGGGTGGCAGCATGCCAGCAGGGCAGACACCCCCCGCTCAGCCGCCCTGAGCAGCCCCTGGCGTTGTGGGGTCAGAGGGTCAGCGCTGGCTTCCCCCAGGTGGGGACACGTGGCCGGCGCCCGAGGTGCTGGCACTGGGCCCCCTCCCGTCACTGGCGCGAGCGTGTGGGTGGCACAGCTGCCTGCTGGCCCAGTGGGAGGACTTGGGGGTGAGAATTCTGCTTTGGTTACAGTTTGCGGGAGGCGGGGCCTCCATGGCGCTGCTCAGGAAACACCCAGACACCCTCAGAAGACCGTCCCCGGCCAGGGCTGGACCCCGGCCCAGGAGGAGCTGCTGTGGGTTCGCGGGGGCGATCCCTGAGCAAAACCCCCGGCCAGCAGAAAGTGCAAGGGCTCTTGTGAGCGCGGAGTTCACAGGCCCTTGTCCCCGGGCTTCGGTCTGTGACCGGCACTCTGCCTCCCCTCTGCCCTGCAGGCCGCAGAGATGCTTATTTTTGGGAAGAAGTTGACAGCAGGAGAAGCCTTCGACCAGGGACTCGTGACCCAAGTCTTTCCTGACAGCACTTTCCAGAAGGAGGTCTGGGCCCGGCTGAAGGCCTTCTCGAAGCTGCCCCCGAATGTTAGTATTGGCTTTCGCATCCGTGGGTAGGAGCCGGGAAACAGTCAGTTCCTTTGGGAGATGAATTGTTTTTTGAAAACAAACAAAAAAAAAAGGCAAATAGACTCTTCTGGGTGGTATCCAGCCTGTGGGAACCTGAGACTGAAAGGCACAGTCATCAGGTAGGCACCCAGGTGTGTGGTCGGTGGACTTCGGGGAGCACTCTCGGGGTGAGTTGGAGGAGGATGTGTGGCTCTGTGCCAGGAAGGGTTATTCCTGTGTGGCGGAACAGGCAGGCTCTGCCTGCTCAGAACGTGCTCCCTATGCTCCTCCCATACACAGCCCCTCCCCCCACCGCCCCCCCCACACACATACAGCTCGTGCGTGTGCAGGGGTGCGAGATGCAGGAAGCATGTGGGAAGCGTGACCTAGGCGCCTGCGCCTCCTGTTGTGTTTCAGTCCATGCGGATTTCCAAAGAGCTCCTGAGGAAGATGGAGAAGGAGAAGCTGCACGCGGTGAACGCCGAGGAGTGCCGGGTGCTGCAGACCCGCTGGCTGTCGGACGAGTGCATGAACGCCGTCATGAGCTTCTTATCCCAGAAGTCCCGCCTGTGAGCAGCGGGGCTGCTCTCCGCTTGGATTCCCGCACCCGGACTAAATAAACAGCCCTGCTCGTCCGTCCGTCCGTCCGTCCATCCGTCTGTCCCCCCCGGCCCCCGTGACCCTCTTTCCCCAGAGCCCTGGTTGGGGGGTGGGGGAGGAAAGGGGGAGGTGACGGGAAGCCCCAGGGGTCCGCGGAGGCGAGGGGCGGGGCGGGCTCTTACGTCTCTGTTCATGAAGAGCCGGTGCCAGGCGCACAGGAGGCCTCTGTCGGGGACGTGGTTCTGGAAGGCGCTCATGGCCCGGCAGGCCGAGCTCAGGTCCTCGAACACCACCACGGCGCTGTCGCGGCCGTACCTGCGCACCGAGCGGATGGGCCCGAACATGGACAGCCACTGGATGGCCGACGGCAGGCTCCCCTGCGACCCCAGGGTGCTGAGCCACCTAAGAGGGCAGAGGACAGGGGAGCGGGGCGGGTCTCCGTGACCCTGCTCTCGTTCTCCCCTCTCCGCCTGCGTCCCCCTCCTCTCCGGGTCGGCGATCACTCCTGGGGGTGCTCAGGGACGGGACGGGGCGTGGCCGCCTGCCAGCAGGTGCCTTATCTGGGCCCGTGATTCCCGTTTTCACAGTGCAGTGACAGGAGAGAGAGAGCGTGCAGGAGGTGTGTGGAGACGGCCCGGAGCTGGGGCGCTCGCTCTGCACACAGCTGTGGTTTGAATCGCCCGAACCCACCACAGCCTCCCTGAAAAATGATAAAAGGGAAATTCTTAGGAGTTCCTCACTGGCTGACTCTGATGAGGACAAAGCCAGTGAGCCCAGAAGGAAGCTACACGGAAGCTCCAGACTTAAAGAACAGAAGTAGACCTGGGCCATGGCTGGAAGAAATGGGGCGTTAGCCCTGCGGTACGGCGGGCCCAGGCCCTGCGGGGGCTGCCGGTCTCCCTGTATCTTCTGTAGGGAAAGGGAGATGGTGGCGGGTTATGTTACATATAATTATACAGTATGAATGACCTGAAATTGAAGTGTATATACTTTTTCTTTTTTTCTTTTTGCTTTTTGGTCACACCCAGCGATTGCACAGGGGTTACTCCTGGCTCTCCACTCGGGAATTACCCCTGGCAGTGCTCAGGGGACCCTATGGGATGCTGGGAATCAAACCCGGGTCAGCCGCGTGCAAGGCAAACGCCCTACCCGCTGTGCTGTCTCTCCAGCCCCAAGGTGTATACACTTTTTCTAGGTGTGAACCTTGAACATATTTTCTTTTTTTTAACTATAGGACTCCAAAGAATGGTCAAATGATCTGACTTGAGTGAGAGAAAATTATCACTCAGAATAGTACCTACCCTTATTCTTGCTCTAACCTGCATTGTCTTGTATTGCCCATTGTCTTGTATTAACGGTTCCAAGTTTTGTAGGTAATAACTCTTTGCCTTCTTTAAAGATGGGTTTGTAATCCACATTGTGGATGTATTTTTGTTTTTGATTTTTTTGGGTCACACCTGGCAATGCTCAGGGGTTCCTTCTGGCTCTGCACTCAGGAATTACTCCTGGTGGTGCTCAGGGGACCCTAATGGATGCCGGGGATTGAACCTGGGTCAGCCGTGTGCAAGGCAAACGCCCTCCTCACCAGACTATCACTCTGGCCCCTATAACCCGCATTGTTACAGGGTGGTGAGCACTGCGGTCAGGCATGGTTCTCGCGCTCACCCTGTGTCTCCAGGCCGACGGGGAGGCACTGCTCAGCCAAGTGCCACCCACACGCGCAGCTGCCGCCTCGTCGGGACGCACCCCCACCTACCTCACAATGATGGTGTGCATCGGGGGCTCCTCAGAGACCCTCCACAGCCTGGAGCTCTTCCCCACACACATCTTGTTGGGGTTGTTCAAGGCCTTTCTTCTCCACGGGGACATGTAGCTGGGCTTTGGGGACAGACTGATGGCTTTTGGGAAGTCATGCCTCACCAGGATCCTTTCTAAGGTGGAGAATTCGGGATCGTCACCTAGAGATGGAGCGAGCACAGTGGGGTTCAGCCTCCTTGTTTGGGGAAGCTCCGTGGGAAGGAACATTGCACCCCTGCACGGCTGCTCACCTCTGACCTCTGCCCTGCAGGGCTACGCCTGCCTCTGACCCCCTGCCTGGTTCTACACATCCCAGCAAGCCCATGAGCAGACACGGGCAGCAGCAGTGGGCAGGCGGCTCTTTCTGCAGTCTGCTGGGCTCACAAACCAACGGCAGTCGCCCTGCCCGCCGGGTCTTTCCCTTCAGACACTGACCATGAGTGGCTGGTGGGACAGTGCAGTGGGGGCGGCACTTGCCCTGCATGCGGCTGACCCAGGATCGATCCCCGGAGGCCCATTTGGTCCCCCAAGCACCACCAGGAGTGATTCCTGAGTGCAGAGCCAGGAGGAACCTTTGAGCATTGCTGGCTGTGCCCCTCCCCCACAAAAATATATAAAACACAGACTCGAACTGCACTGTGCATGGGCACCACCCCCCTTGCTTCACGTTGCTATCAGCCAGCCCCTCATCCAAATGCCCATCTGTGGCAAGACCGCTGTAATGGAACATCTTGGGTCCACCGTCTCGGCCCGAGTCTCCTGTCCACTCTCAGCCCTTATCATGGGTCCACCGTCTCGGCCCTTGTCTCCTGCCCACCATCTCAGCCTGCATTCCCCGTCCACCGTCTCAGCAAAGGGGGGCTGCTGGAGAGCGGGACAGCGAGGGGCGCGCACACTTGCGCTTGTCCTCGGCGCTCCTGCAGGCGTGCAGCTGCTCCAGCAGCTGGTTGGGCAGCAGGCGGTGCAGCCGGGACAGCAGCTCAAAGGTGTGCGCCAGCTCCCGGGGGTTGGCGTGGTTCTTCCTCTCCTTGGCTGGCCCCGCACAGGCTCCTTCCATGCCGGCCTGGGGCGGCACCGAGGGGCTCCTGGGAGAGGCGGGCAGTGCCCAGGGTCAGCTCTGCGCCCACAGGGATGCTGACCCGCCTCTCCCCGAGGGCAAAGGTGGACCTGTGTGCGGCGGGCCTCCGGCTCCCCATTCTGAGGGTCACAATGAGCCTCTCCCCGCCCGGAACCCCGAGGGCTCAGTCTGCACCTGCCCTGCTGAGAACAAGGGGGTCCCTGGGGCTGGCATGCTGGGCAGGGCAGGGGACCCTGGCAGGGATCGCTCTGCTCTGGGGTCTGCAGCCGGGGCGAGGCCTGCTGCTTGCCTCGAGAGACGGAGCCACGCCCGTGAGCACCCCCTTCAGAGTCCCTCCCTCGGGGCACTCGGGGGACCCAGCACCACCCCAAGGGCTGGTCCCAGCATTGCTCTCTGGCACAGCTGAGCAAAAAGCCTCGTCGCCCCTGCTGAGATGTCCAGAGTGACACAGGTACAGGGCCCTGCGCTCTTCCCAGCCCAACGGAAGCTTGGGGCCTTCAACAGTCTCTTGGGGCTTCTGTGGGGGGGGAGGGGCTGCCCAAGCAGTGCTCAGCGCCACAGGGCGATGGTGGGGCCACCACACACATCTGTTCCGGCCCATTGAGCCGACGTCCCTACCCAGCTGTAAATAGTCTTCTTGTTTTTCTTGGTTTGGGGGTCACACCTGGCAGCGTTCTTCGCTCTGTGCTCAGTTTGGGGGGGGGCACGTGTGATGCCGGGTGTTGAACCCTGTCCTGCCGATGCAGCTGACAAGCAAGCACCTTCCCTCCTGTCCTCGTTATAATAATAATCTTTATTTTTATTTGTTTTGGGGCCACATCCAACGATGCTCAGGGGTTACTCCTGGCTCTGCACTCGGATCACTCCTGGCTGTGCTTGGGCGTACCGTATGGGAAGCCTGGGATCAAACCTGGGTTGGCCGTGTGGAAGGCAAACGCCCTATCTCCTGCTGTGCTATTGCTCTGGCCCTGCCTGATGTGATCTTTTTCTTCTTCTTTTTTTCTAACTTTTTTATAATTGAATCACCGTGAGATACAGTTACAAAGCTTTCATATTCGAGATTCAGCTGTACAGTGAGCGAACACCCATCCCTCCACCAGTGCACTTTCCACCGCCAGTGTCCCCAGTATATCCCCCCACCCCATCCCCGTCCTCATTTGGCTCCATGGCAGGCACTGTAGCACTGTAGGACTGTCCTCCCATTATTCGATTTTTTCGAGCAGGCCCAGTAACATCTCCGTTGTGAGACTTGTTGTTACTGTGTCTGGCATATCGAATACGTCACGGGGAGCTTGCCAGGCTTTGCCGTGCGGGCGAGATACTCTCCGTAGCTTGCCGGGCTCTCCGAGAGGGGCATAGGGAGTATTGGGAAAACTGCCTGCCATGTTAAACTTTTCGGCATCATGTTTTGCTTGAATTTTCCCATCACCACTCAAGCCTGCCTGCCAGGGGCAGATGCTGGACCATTTATTGTCCCTTGTTCATTTTGAATATCATGGGTGCTGCGGCCGTGCGCTTCTGGAACCCCAGATTGTAAATGGTTGGGTTCCAGAGACATTCCTGTAGGGCACTATTCCATTCTGAGATTCAACTGGGCGTCTCTGGACCAGGGCTGTTGGTGCGCTAAGATGGCACCTGGAGGCACACTGTGGGGTGACAGCCAGGCTGACAAGTGGGTGGGGAGTTGAGGAGGGACAGCCCGGGTCCTCTGCTGCCATGCGGCACGGAGATTTAGTCCTGGAACCCGCATACCTGGGCCTTGCTTGTGGAAGCTCTTGGCTGCCGGGATTCAACATCTGGAGTAGGCGTGAAGACTGGACCTGCTCCATCTGGGGCGCCTTGGTGAAACTGGCTTGGTATGGGGCCCAGAGAGATCTCCGACTCTGTGGTGTTTTCCGGGACTTGCTGCTGTGTCTCTGGCTTTAGATCTCCTTCAAGATTTACTTGTGGGTCTCTGAAGCAAGGTCGGTAATAGAGTTTACAGAGTGATGCTGGAACTGGTTCATGGGGGTCACTGACAGTGCTCCCATGTGTATTGGGAAGTGGAGGGGGGTAGCCCACCTCAACTCGGTAAAAGCCTGGAGATTTCAGTCCCAAAACCCACATACCCGAATTTTTGGTGAGGTCCGGCCTGAGACGGTGGAGTCAGGCCGGGGGTATGGTGGCAATTTTGGAGTGTGGAAACAAGCGGCTGCTGGGGACTCTGCTTAGACAGGCACCGGCCAACCTGCCCCCCTCCGACTTACCCCAGTCTGTTCCATCCACAGAGATTAACTGCGGCTTTTTATCTCTTTCAAGATTTATCTATGGGTCTCTGAGATAAGGCCAATAAATGAGCTTGTGTAGCTGAGCCAGAGGTGGTTTGTGGGTGTGGCTCCCACATACCTAATTTCTGGCTGTTTAATTTCTTGGTAAACTTGGTCCCACGATGTTGGGGTTCAGCCAAAGGCACAGCGGCAATTTTGGGGTGACAGGAAGCCTGAGGGCAACATCAGGCTGCTGATGCACTCACCCCACAGGTACAGGTTGACCTCCTGGCGGCACCATACCCTGCCCTGATGTAGACTTACGGCATCGAACTTGAGAGTCAACCAGCTGCCCAGGACTCTCCCACCCTGGGCACTGAGGGCAAGAAGGCAGAGTCCCACTTGACAGGTTCAAGCCTCTCTGGCACTTCGGGCAGCTAAGATGCGGGGGTCCTACTTCGCCCCGCAGAGAGGCGGGAGTGTGAGCAGTGGAATCAACCTGCTAGGACTCTGGCTTCAGCCTGGCAAGCTTGCTCATATGAAATGTCCCTTGTGTCCACAGCAGAAGGTAGAAAATGGCACTGCAGTCTTTGCTCCTTGCAAACCTCAAGCTTTGGGAGCCAGTCAACAAACGTGGGGTGCCTTGCAGAGGCCCAAAGGCCACAGAACTGGTGTTGGTTCATAGAACTCCCGAGTGAGGGGAGGGCAGGGGCAGGGAGGAGCCTTTGGGATCTTGGCGATGGGAGAGGTGCTGCACTGCCGTATGCATGAGACCGCATTAGCTGTGCTGTAAGTCTCAGAGCCTCAACACGAACTAAAAAAGGGGGCTGCTCTATGGGGCTGGAGCGATAGCACAGCGGGTAGCGCCTTGCATGCGGCTGACCCAGGTTTGATTCCCAGCATCCCATATGGTCCCGCCCGTGAGCACCGCCAGGAGTAATTCCTGAGTGCAGAACCAGGAGTAACCCCTGGGCATTGCCGGGTGTGACCCATAAAGCAAAAAAAAAAAGGGGGGGTGGAGGGTTTAAATGCAAATGTAGGGGCCTGGGAGAGAGCACAGCAGCTTAAGGGACAAGCCTTGTGCTTCCCTTCCATGGCCCCACCTTGCTTTCATCCTTAACACCTCAGATGGGCCTCTGAGCACGGCCAGGACCCCTGAGCACGGCTGGGTGTTGCCCCAAAACCGATGCCCTATGGTCCCAGCTAAGAAACGCTGCTCTAAGCCCTCATTTACAGAAACGAGGAAGAACCAAGCCTGGATGATGTCACTGAAGCGACTGACTTAAGTCATTTATTTAGAGGTGACTCTGGGGGTCAGGGTGACGGTACAGTGGGTAGGGCGCTTACCTGACCCACGGCCAACCCTGGTTAGATCCCTGGAATCACTCCTGAGCCTTGACAGGAGTGACCCTGAACGCAGAGCCAGGAGTAAGCCCTGAGCACTGCTAGATTTGGTCTAAAACCTTTTCTTACACAGACGATTCTTGATTGGACTCAGAGAGGCTCAAAGTGTCGAGCGCAGCACAGGCTTTGCATGCAGGAGCCCCAGGGTCAGTCCTCAGCACTGTGTGTTCCCTGGGCACTGCCAGGAGCCGGCCTGGCTCACTGAACCAGATGTGGCCTCCAAACAAACAAACAAACAAAAGCACAACAACTGCAGGTGATTCTTACAGGCCAAACAAATGGGCCTGAGGTCTTGCTTTTGTTTTCATTTTGCAGTGCCAGGGATTAAACCGTGGGTCTCACACGTACAGGGCAAGTGCTCTATGCTGAGTGCCTGTGTTTTCTTTTTTCAGTAAATCTTGTGATGCATGTACATGTCTCTCCCCAATGGGTAAGGCTTCCTCCAAACAAGCTCAGTCCATATGACGATGGCTCTGGCTGGCGCAGTTATGAGGTCCTGCACGTGGCCCCGGGCTCTCTGCCCGGCCGTTCGGACCTGGCCTTTGAGGAAACAAGCGCCCGTTCTGCACCTTGCTCTGTCTTCTGCTCACTCCCAGTTCTCTTCTTCAGCGGCCAATGCTTTCACCTTTGCCAAGGCATTTGTCATCTGTGACGGTTTCCTCCCAGGAAGAGGTTGCCGAGAGTCCTCGGCAGCTGGCGTTCCTGCCCCACCGTTGCTATGCGGGGTGCCGTGCTGCTGGGGCGCCAGCATGTCATTAACTAAATTGATCCCACAGCAGAGCCGCTGCAGGACGCTGGCTTGTTTTCCTACTTAGGCTGATCACAAGTTCCTAACTTCTGGGTCATTTTTTTTTTCCCCTTCCAAAGAAGGCTCTGGAGGACCAGCCCCGGCCCTTCTGCCAAGGTGGAGGCGACAAGCTCAGCTGGCTTCCGGAGGGCAGGCTCTTCAGTAACGTGCACAAAGACAGGATCATCTCCAAGCTCCTCAAAGAGAGCGTTCTAAAGAGAGTGTTCCGTTCCAAGCAGAGGTGGGAGGGTCTCGGCCTCCAGAGAGAGGATTCCAGCCCGCCAGGCAACAGAAAGTAAGTTTTAATCCTGACGCTTGAAATCAAAACCCACAGGGAATTTATGCTCCCAGGCTGAGAAAACCCGGCCTCTGAGTGCAGGTGTCTAAAGCCCAGGGAGATGCAGGAAGCAGAAAATCAAACAGCAGAAATCAAATCGTGCAGAAAAAAACAATCCAAAAATGGGGGACGGATGTGATTATGTCTCCGTAAGTACCAGCTGCAATAGAGGCAGACACGGAATTCGCAGGCATGTGTCTATCTT